CGGGACACCGGGGGGCTAAGGGGCTGGGGGGGGGGGGGAGCAGAGGGTAATGCACCATCTCATTAAACAAGGGCAAATGCTACAGGGGACTTGGAGGGGCTGTAACCCCTGAAAGAGCACAACAGCCCAGGAATTGCATCAATAGAGAAAGAAAGGCTGAACCTGGAACAGAGTTTGTTTATTTCACTTTATTGGAGGTGGACAGATTTAATTGGTATAAAGCCACTCATTGAAATGATATTCCACAGCTGCTATTTGATCATTAAACAAGGGCAAATGCTACAGGGGACTTGGAGGGGCTGTAACCCCTGAAAGAGCACAACAGCCCAGGAATTGCATCAATAGAGAAAGAAAGGCTGAACCTGGAACAGAGTTTGTTTATTTCACTTTATTGGAGGTGGACAGATTTAATTGGTATAAAGCCACTCATTGAAATGATATTCCACAGCTGCTATTTGATTATTTTTTAACTTTAGCCCTACCCCAATTTTCAGTCTTTCCCTTTTTGGGCCCTTCCCTCATGTAGGCTTGAGGAATGAGGAATATGAGCAAAGAGCCCTCTGGACCCTCCAGCCGATACGCATCTTGTGGCAAGTATACTGTTTGTTCTCCTTATGTTAATGTACATTTCTGACATGTCTTGGGCATGCAAAATGAAAAGAACCCTTTGCTTACTGAGAGACTTCACATATACTACCTACCACATCAGCATTTTATGCTGTGGGGAAGTGCATCCCTCAATATAATAATCCTAGATATTTTTGGTGTGGAATTTTCTTTGGGTTCTTTCTAGCCTGGTCATACAAGGCATTCCAAACAGGAGTGTGACATGCTCTTCAATCTCACCAATGTGAGGAAACCATCATTTCCCATATTGGCCTTCTGTTTTCCCTTTTTTTTTTTTTTTTTTTTTTTAAGAAAATATCCTCCTCTTTTCAAGGCAGAAGTTAATTGTACACTGTAATCCAGCTAGTTAGATGACTTTGCCAAATTACTTTATTTGCCCCTATCATTATATCTAGGACATGCCTGAGTACTGGCCTAAAATCTCACGGTTGTTCTCAAACCTAAGTTTTGCATACAGTATTGCCCAGCCACAGCCACCACTTTTCATGAAAATTAGCTCTATTTAGATTGAAAAGCCCTTTGCTCCCTTATAAATAACATTGTGAAAGAAGGAAGTGAACCTGCTTCGATGAAGTTAACTACATTTTTAATGGAGTGTTTGTGCGGAATTTGTAGTGATGGAATGATATTTCTTGTTTAAATCAGTTGTTTGGGTTTTCTTAGATCTAGTTTATTAGAAGAGTTTTAAGGATTAGTAGGAGATTACAGGCTACTTTACAGAGTTGTCCCCTCCAGTATGTCTTTTTGAAATGCTTCATATAGATTTGAGCATGATTTTTGTTTGCTGCTCCTGACTTAGCCCTTTACTTTTTCTATACTAACAATTATTTTGATGCTCTCTAAATCAGGTTTCCTCAATGCAGCATGAGATAAAACCAGCTTTCACGGTCTGATTTATAAAATCAGAACATAGGGTAGCCTTTCAGTTAGATCATTGGTCGCTTTTTACAGGAGGTTTCCAGAAGATCTCAGACTATTTCTGCTGCCACTACAGTGTAAGCCATTGACTTTTTCCATTATAAGCTACAGGTTGGACCTCCAAAAACCGGGATGCCCTTGTGCCGGACCACAGGTGTTCCTGGACCAGGGATTTCAGGCTGGGAGCTCCAGTGGCAAGAGCCTGGTGGCGCTGGGACTTGGACCTAGGGTTGCCAGGTGTCTGGTTTTAAACCGGGCAGTACAGTATTTGAGCTTTCTGTTCGGGAAACAAATTGAAAAAAAAAAAAAAAGTCTGGTATTTTCTAAGTAAGATGTAATGTAGACTGTGATGCAATGTCAAGTGTGTCCGGTATTTTTGTTGAAACCATCTGGCAACCTTACTTGGACCAGGGCCAGAGCCTCTGTAGCAGAGCTGGGGTCGAGCAGTCCCTGTAGCAGGGCCAGGGATTCGGCAGATGCAGCAGTCCCAGTAGTGGGGCTGTGGCAGCCTGGTGGGGGAGTGGCTAGGGTTGTCCATGGGGACGGAAAGTGGGCTAAGGGGCGATAATAGGGGACCTCCCTTGGTCCAGCAAATTCCCTCGTTCAGAACTGGTCAGGTCCCCAGGTTGCCGGACCAGAGAGGACCAACCTGTAGTTTTAAAAGAGTTTTTAGCTGTGAAAAATCTCAGTTGGCGTAAGTACAAAGGAGATTGTACATTTGAATATGATAGGTTTCTGAGTGGCAGGTACCCAGCAAGTTAACTTGGATGAAAAGATTCCTGATAATGAATAGGTAGATGAAACATTCCATTCCAGGGGAATTAATTAGTAAGTTTGGAGAAAAAAACCCCCAACAATCTAATGTTTGTTGCCCCATCACTTTGTTTTTAATGTCTGTTTACATACTTCTTCCATTGTCATTACATGGAATATATTAACTGAATTCAATGGAATATCTGTTTAAAGAGACCTTTTAACTTAAAAACCACAGTTCTTTTTTAAATTGTTTTACCTATGCACTGTTAATAACACCGAAGAGTGTTATAATTTAAGCGGAGTATATAAAAATCTTTTCTATTTTCCTGTATGTTTACTTTGTGCTTTGACAGCACAATTGTGTGTATTCGGGTTAGCCATTTTTCCTTTATAGTCAACTGTCCATCTCCATTGTTTGTATGGGTCTTTTCTACAGTAATGGGAGGGAAGAATATTTGGGGGGAAAAAACAAAGGGAAATTTGATTGCAAAACTACAGGTATAAAATTTGTTAGTTAGATTCAAGGGAAGGTGTAGTACATCAAATATTTATTATTCTGTCCTTAATGCATATTTAATATCTTTTACATCCTTAATAAAATTTAGTATGTTATTCTGTAGTTTAATGTGGACTTTGATTGTTACATCTTCTCTTTGACACAGTAATGTTGTCAGTAAACAAATAATCTAAATATTTTCTTCTAAATGATTATAGAATGGTACTACCATGTTCCACTAAAACGACCAGAGAAGTCAGTGAAATCGGAAATCCCAATCCCTCCACCATCCCAGATCCCAGGCCTAAGCAACGTTGGAGAACATTACAATGAAATTACATTTGGGGGCCGCAGGAAATGGATTAGGGACACTGATTCAGAATATGTAAAGCTGGCAAAGCAAGGAGGCCAACCTGGTAAACCTCAGTTCATTTTAGCATTGGTGGTTTGGGGAGTTTAAGCATTTGTCAAATATAACTGTAGATTATTCTAGAAATTTTAAAAGTGACACATTTGGAGGAAAACGATAGAAAGGGAAATGTTGTATGTTGTTGAAATATGCTGACATCAAAAAACGATGCAGTAACTTTTATTAGTAAATTTGTTAGTCACATTTGCAATAACCCCAATATGCCATTGTCTGAATTTTAACTATTTTCTGCTTCAGCTTGTAACCTTTCTTCTCTGCCTTTCATGGCTAAAATCATTTGATTAGCTCTTAAAGTAAATTCCATCTGGTCCAGAATGGGTTTTTTAATTCTTATTAAATTGAATGTAGGACTTTAAGTCCTTATGATAAAACCTAGTTAAGTTAATGCTGATACATTTTAACAATAGTTTAAATTATTTAGCTGCATTACATGGGGATCAGAACAATTTATTTTGTGTTTAATACAGAAAGTATCTGTATCCAGCCCGCCCAATACTTTGATCCTGTCCATGGACTGCCTCTGGCTGCTTTCTGTTTATATCCTGCTGCCTGTGTCACCGAATTTCTAGGTGGTGGCTCAGGCAGCAGGATCTTATTCAAATGGCTCAAAGGTCCTGATTGTGGTGCTACCCCAGCAGGGGCCAGAGCTATAAGCTCTTTAAACAGCCTCAGCAACCCCAGGTGGCTGCCAGGCAATGTGGTAGCAGCAAGGCCAGGAGCCCTTTGCTGTGTTTTTAGTTCAAAGCCTCACACCCAACTCGAGAGTGGGCGGGGAGGAGGCTAGTTCCCATGCCCAGCCCCTTCTGTCCCATGCCCCGCTCCTTCTGGGAGTGGAGCCAGCCCATGACCACATACCAAAATTCATTAAGTGGCCGCCCTGCGAAAATTATTATCCACCCCTGACCTACTGAGCTTTGAAAGGTTTATTATAATATAGGTTTATCGTGAAAATTAAGGCAGGAAATGGTGTAATCTCAAAAGGAAATTGTCATGAATTTGAAAAGGTCTATAAGGGTTTTATTAAAATGACTTCAGTTTTTGCAAGTAAGTAGTGTTTATTAGTATACATACATTTTGTTTTCAGTTAAATGAAGATGTGAAAAATTTGAACAGATATAAATTTTCCACAGTTTTAATGATTCCCAGTCTGTAAAATGAGAAATCTACCCATGTTATCAGGCACTGTATTCTATAATTGCATGTCAAAATATGAAATATCTGATACAATTGAAATACAGCATTAGAAATAATGTCGAAAAATGAAATGGCCATTCCTTCTAAACTTCTGACACTTACTTACCTTGTGGATAATCACTGCTGGTGATTATTCTTTTAGGATTAAAAAGTAGTGAAACTTCTGATTGTCCAGTTAAATCTCAGTAAAGGCTACAAAAATAAATATATATATTAAGTAAAAGATAACAGCAGTATGAAAATATTCATTTATAACCATGCAGAATACTACAGCATTAATATATCTCTTTTTTAACTTAAGATTTGTTGAAACATTTTGCATCTAGTTCAAGAAAAACATCCCCAGTAGCATATGCTGCACCTGACTGGTATATGCACCACAGTCAACCTCTAACAGCTGATGAATCTAAGTAAGTTTGCTGTGATTCCATGGAGTCTTTATAACATTTGATAACCTACTGTATTTTTCTTTTGTTAGTCTGTTAAACTTTATGTTTTGAATTAATACTTTTGCAACAGCATGGAATTCATTTACATAAAAAAACCCTGCTATACTTTGGTCTACAGAGCACATGTTTCCTCAGTGCCGGACTACATGGTTCATGAAGAATTTAAGCCTGACCACCTCAATGGTAACTATGAAACAAAAAGAGGGCCTTTTGATTTTGATATGAAAAGTATCTGGCAGAGGGATGCCGAAGACAAAGAGAACAAAGAGAAAAGAAAGGTATGATTTGAAGACTTTCTTCTTGGTGTAAAACTTTTGAAAAAAACTGTAAGTGGCAGTTATTGGAACAGTACATTTTTGTACTTAAGGTACAGAAGTGATTTAAAATACATAGTTCTGTTGCCAGGTGTCTGGTATGGGCCCCGACAGTATGGTATTTGCGGCTTCTGTCTGGTAAAAAAAGAAACCCAGATAAATGTAAAATGTCCAGTAATTTGTTTTTCTTGGACAGAAAGCCGCTTGGGACATTCTTCCCCTGCTGGGAGCGGGGGGAGGAGAGGGATTTAAAGGTGCAGTGATTCCTTTTTTTTTTTTCTCAACCAATTTTTCCAGTGCCACGTTCGGTATTTTTTGTGAAAGTATCTGGCAACCCTATCTGTCATGAAGTGTTCTTATTGCAGTACAGTATACCAGGAATACATTTTCTGATTGCATTGTACATTTTGTCCCCAGCAGACCACAGGCACCGTCCCCAGCAGACCACAGGCAAAGGGACTGATGCCGCAGCCGCGGCAGGGGCCCCCGCCCCCCAGAACTTTGTCGAGGAAAA